TTGTTACTTTTGTTCACAAGGAGGTGGTCCTATCTTTATGGTTTAATTGAAAGATTGAAGCTTGACTTGAAGGTACAGTATTTATTGGCTATACAGTTCTTTTTGTTTTTGTATTAAATTTTATAATTTTTAGATGTATTTTGGTATTGGTGGTGGATTGTTGACTCTTATTATGCTTAATCTGAACCAAGCGTGTTCTTCTCTTGCTCTTCTTACTGGTTCGTTGTCGAGCCGGTTAACTACAGTTTCTGAGTCTAACTCTCGTACTTGTTCCCATGTTCTTTTTGCTTGGTTGTAGATGTCTACGTTTACTGCGTTGATGTTGGCTCTTCTATGGAGTTCTTCGTTTGTTACTCTTTCTTCGTAACTGATGTTATATATGAATCTTAGGCTTTTATTTTGTACCTTTTGAAGTTTCTTGATTCTCGTCGCACTAAATGAGTTGGTTGGTACAGGCGGGTAGCACATTACTGGTTTTATTAGTGCCGTGTATAATTTCCTTTTGTTTGGTATGTTCAGTTTTTTAAATCTTCTTATTTTCGAGAGTTTGCTACGTAGTTTGTGGACTTTTTCGTTGATGAAGCTCTGGTCACAATTAGTTATGATCTTAAGTCCTTAGGTACCACAAGAGTACCTAGACGCGGCGGGCAAGGTGGTGGAGGCGCTGCAGGAGGCCGACCTCTTCCACAACACACTCATTCGGCCATTTTTTTAAACATTCGGGTTACTTATTAGAAACCCGAAAGTGCCCTCTGGGCCGTAATCCATTTTTTTAAACCAAATTTTGTCTGGTTACCATTTGGTAGTCCGGCAATCTCATTGGAAAGTTCGGGATAAGTCCTCGGGTGTGGGTAGGCACCCAAAAGACTTATCCCTCAAACTAGTTATATATGAATAGAAAACGTCTCTGAAATATATGGAAATTAAGAGGAGATAATAAAGAAAACAAATATTTAAATGTCCTAATAACCGGTTCCAATGGAAATGTATATATTTTAAAGAGACCGCCGTGTACCCCAGTGATGTTTTCCTTTCAACTCCGAAGATTTTTCGTCTCCCCATCGCCCCTTCTCCAGTTTTATCAAGCATTGCATTCCTACAATCATCCTCTTATAGCTTCAAGTATGTTAAAAAATGCACTTTTCTTTGTGATAGATAGATGTAATGCCATTTCCAATTCGCCAATATATTATATCGGAAAGATATAAGATGAGCCAAATATACTGGGTAGAAGCTGAGGTAATAGTTTACAAGTGTCATCTGTGACCCACGCTGATAATTACCATGGAAAAAATTTCTGCTATATTTCACTGTTTGGGTTGTTGTTGTTCTGGTTGTGTTTAGGTACTACAAGTACCAATGTTTGTAAGTTTAGATTAGGTTACGTAAAATATTTTTTTAGATGAAATGTTCAAACTCGAGGTTAGAAAAGTGACAAAATTGATTAATGATATTTTTAATCACTCGATTTAAATCGTGTCAGTCCTTTCGTACATCACCGGAACAACAATAAACAAAAGTTAAATACTGTATACTATGGACAAATTTCTTAAAGAAATTCTCTGTAATAGCTGTGCAACACACTTGTAAACTATTATCATAAGTAATTTATCTTATATGCAGTAGTTACCGCAATATATAGATAATAGAGATTAGATTTTGTTATATTTTTCAGGCTAGCATTATAGCATTCTGGTATTGTTATCAGAGACCATCAAAATCCTTTTGCTTATCTCTGAGGAGGAGTTCATCAAGAGGTATAGGCTGTCCAAGTAATGCATTCATGAACTTCTTGAACGAGTTAAGTCAAATATGCCAAGAGTTCAAGAAGGACGAGGCAAGAAATTCTGGTGTTACTATAGTGTGTGATCTACAAGATAATTGTGTTAAGTTAGCTTAGGTTAGATTAGGTTAGGTCAGGTTAGGTAAGGTCAGGTTAGGAAAGGTCAGGTTAGGTTGGGTAAAATTTGGTAAGGTTAGGTTAGACTAAATATATCTTAGTAGACTGAAACTCTAGATCTTCACTATGGGACGTCAACGTTTAAAACTGTATTTGGCAAACACCCGACGACTTTATTCAGCACAGAGACACAAAGTTAAAGTCCTAATCTCCTTCCCGCCTTGTATTGACCTCCCTCTTAATTTCCTTCTCCAATACAACATGTTTATATTTTGCTGATATCAAATTCCTCAACTGACCTTTGCACAAGTTATTATGCTATCATCTTTCAAAACTTATTACTATATTTAAGTCATTTCAATGTTTACCTTCATATTTCTTACGTTTAACTCTGTGAAACTCAACTTTCAGCTCCATAGTTTTTTTTTTCATTCTGGCAAGACGACAGATGCCTTCAGAGTTCAGTCAGTACTGACCAAAAATCCTTCAATCTAACTCATACTTGGCACCTGCCTGGCCCACCCTTGCATTCTTTCTACAGGGATGCGCTGTTCAGTGATCATTCACTTAGCAATAATTTTGTTTAGCGATTTAAAATTTCTAGCACCCTTGGTTATTTAACGATCTGCAATTGTTCGGGTTAGCAATCTTCAACTCACTGGGAAAAAATCAGGAGAGAAGTAAAATAAAAAATTGGGGATTCTTTGCTCCAAGTGAGCATCTCTACTGGGCATGCATTATGGGTGCACATGGGGTGGTGTGGGCGTGATGAGAACATGACGGGCAGTAGCGTAAATGTAGGGGTGGGTGGTAAAGGAGGATTCACAATATAGCGGTGAGGCACGGGAAGGAGGGAGGGAGCCCTGTTTGCCTCTACTAGTATCACCACCTTACCCGATATCATACAGTATGTCAAGGTGCCGACTCCTAAAAACTGCCTCAGTGAATAATATCTACATATTTGAGTACAATAAATAGTCAAATAAGAATAGAATTATGTAAATGTAAGTTATTTTATGAAAGTGATGTCTGAAACTCACCATGGCAGGTTTGCTGTGGTGCAGAGGCCTCTGCTAATCGTATTCCATTCAAAATTGCCATATACAGTGAACCCTCACTTTACGCGGTCAATTGAACCCACGGCGGCCCGCGTAAAGTGAGAAACGCGTAAAGTGAACAACATAACATATGGGATTAATTGAAATAGAGACCGGGCCGACCCCCAAACTCCACTTTTTCAGACACAATACCTACATTGTAGTAAAAATAACTTCTTAATTTTATGATGGTATGCACACACAATTAATAATTAAAGAAATATCAATAATATTAGAACACTTACATTAGTAGAAAAGATGGGGGGTTGGTTCCGAGGCAGAGGGCAGATTATTGGCCCTCACCTGTATCACTTGTATCAATTGTATCACTATCCACCACAGAGGCTTGCAGGGCCTCTTTGTCAAACCCCTCAAAGTCCAAATTAGTCCATATTCTCACTATCACTGACTTGGGGCCGGCTGTGGTGGGTGGCGGGTGAAGAACTCGGTAATGTTTTGATGACTGGGCGACCTTGTGCGCACCCTGCTCGCGCCGCTCTCCGCGTAAAAGGGTACACACACCACGGAAAGTGAGCATTTCGTGTTCAGCAGGATACCGCGTAAACGTGGAAACGCGTAAAGCGAGGGTTGACTGTACTGTATAAATAAATAATAAAAAAAATTAGGTTTATATTCCTTTTTTTTATTCACCTAACTAACCAGTACAGTATTATATAATCATGAGTCTAATATTAAAATAAGGAGAAAATAAAAAAGTTAAGCAGTGTAAAATAAATGCCGAGTGTGATACTGTGTGTTTCCCGGTCCACTCAGAGATCGTGGCAACGTTGTATTTCCCAGGCTGACACTAAACCACTTGGAAAGGGAGATGCTATATAAGATATTACCTATGAAGCAGCCAACCTGAATTTTAGAAATTAATTTAAAAATCATTATACTATAGCTTTTCAGGCAAAAATAAAAAATGGTATTTTTTGGTAACCAGAGGGGGGTACATACCTTGGTTTCAATGTATTGCAGGGGTGTGCTACAGCTGCGCCACCTATGAACCCAGGCCATTATTACACTAGTGTTTACCCTGCCTTTGAACAATGTGATCTGTACTTTACTATATTGTTCTGTATATTATTGATCGCTGTGCATTGTTCTATTGCTGCGCATTGATATTAATGTTGTGACTTTGGCGTGTTATTGAGTACTTGTCGATTAGCAGGCGGACCAGGTAAGAACTGCTTACTGTATTCTCTTTATGTTTATGACCTTATGATAATTATTATTTTTATTTTTTTTGCATATTCTATGAACGAATGTGCGTTCACATAACAGAGTACAGTACAAGAAAATGAAATAAATTACGTATATCAACCTGAAATTATGAGTTGACGAATATCATATCTTACATGCCATCACTAAACAGCATCTCTCTCTCTCTCTCTCTATCTATATCTATATCTATATCTATATCTATCTATATATATATATATATATATATATATATATATATATATATATATATATATATATATATATATATATATATATATATATATATATATATATATATATATATATATATATATATATATATATACCCAAAAGCTAATAATCTTCAACAAAAAATAACAAGAACTGATATAACAAACAACACGTCAAGCTGACGTTGATGAAAATATAACAGAACAGATTTTTTTTTACCTTTTTTTTACAAATTCACAGTGGCCTTAGTAATGATCCTGTCTCTTAGTGCACAAAACATAGCTTGACCTGGCAGAGGTGACCAAGATGTGCACACGGATGGCCACACATTCTTCTCGCACAGTAATGTTAAGCTCAGGTGATGTTACTGTCTCCCCTGAGCACTGTAGTCCTACTGTGGGAAACAGTACAGTATAAGGGCTGTTAGCAGAGTACTGTACTGTACTGTACATTCACAAAATTTGAAAATGTCAAGAATAATTTTTCATATTGCAAAGCAGTGCATAAATCTTTAACTATACAATGACAAAGAAAATACTTTTTGGTTTTCTACTAATAATATCACCTTTGTTAATGTTGTTTATTTACTAAATGGTACATTAACAGATCCTACAAGGACCTCCTCATAAATTACAAAAGAAAATATATAAATATATATCATTAACTACACTACAAACACATATTGTATTTTTTTTTTAGGAAAAAACAAACTATTACAAGTCTACCATCATAACCTCTATACCTGTATTCTAACACAACAGTACTACAGTATTACTTGGTACAGTCTGGAATGTAACAGTTAAGGGTTGATGGTGTGTGTGTGTGTGTTTTATATGCAGATAATATTTGTGCATAGAAAAAGGAGAGGAGAATGAAGAGACAAGATTATGCTGCAAGTCATCCCACAAGTGTGAAAACATACCTCCACATCTGTCTCTATCTCTCTTTCTTTGGTTTTTAGTTATACATAAACAATCTATCCACGTGCTGTATACCTAATTAGTCTTTGTTTTTGCGACCCATTGTGAGCTGAGGAAATGATGTTTTGCTTGGCTGTGGATTTAGGCGAGAAGCAAGGTTCATGATGGGCTCCAGCAGAAGGGTACGATCTTGAACGTTCACTTCCCACAGTCGTACTTTTTCTGCAGAGGCCCACCGCTCTGCCGTGGCTGTGTCGACTGCACGGTTAGTAGCTGCTGTATCACTCTTGTTGCCCAAGACAATTATTGGTACCTGTGGTGAATGTTAATAAACAGCTACTAAAGAAGACAGCAAGGGTAACAAAGATGCCTCCCTACCTCACATACCACCACCAAGGAAATCATCAAATTTTTCCTCATGAGATCCAAAATACTAAACATACTAAGGTTTATTAAAGTTACTCTACTTACTCAACTACCAAAAGCTTCTACATACACTGCCTAGTTAACTTGAACTACCTGTTGTAGCTCACTGACTAGAGTAGTTATGTTAGTGACACTACATATGACTCTCAATGTAAACAAGAACACTTACATCTTTTTTATCACGATGTCGGTCTATGTCCTTCTTTATATCTGTTAATAGTTGAAAGGAAAGGTAATCACTGATGGAGTACACGATGATGTAGCCATCAGCTAGTGCATGATAATGTTGGGGAAGGGAACGGTTGCGGGTGTCCAGGCCAGCCGTGTCATAAAAGCGCAGCTTCTCTCGAGTGCCGCGCTCTGTCTCTACAATCCCAACATACGTATCTTCCACTGTTGGGATGTATTGCTGTTGTAAAGAAAAAATCTGGAGTTGAGGAGTACATAATACATTTGCCAATACTATTATTTCTCATCATTATTTTGAACACTGTACATTAACACTCTTGGGGTTTTCATATGCAAATTTGCATATGAATTAAAAATTACAGTAATTTTATATTTGCATATGAATGCTAGATACGCAAGATGCACAGTTGGCAATGTCATTGTGATCTGACACCTATGTAGACTGCCTCCAAGGTTAATTGAGTGGCCACACCAGTCACCCTTTGTGTTTCAATGGGCACCAGATGTAACCTTGACCTCCATTTCCCACCATTTTCTTGTGGCTTGTGCTGATTTCTTGTTCATCACAGTGATTTCATTTATTCATAACAGTGTTGTGAGAGCACTGAACCATGCCTCGTGTTGTTGGTGAAGGTGGAGAGGTGGGAAAACGTAAAAATTGCAAGGAAATTGCACCACGTAGTGATACAGTGGTGCCTTCTGAGGCCTCTCCCAGTGTCCCTGGCCATTCTAGTGCTAGTGATAGTTTGTCTGGCTCTTCAATGAGCAGTCCTAGTGTGAAAGGAACTGCCCGGCATGTCGTTGTGGCTAAAAGGAAAATAAGAGTGTTGTTCATGTGGCATCTCAGAGTGGCTTCCCTCACGAGTGTGCACCACCCGTACTCCTGCTAAAACTAAATTTAGTCACCTTGCTCTGGCACTGGCTGGGACAAAAGCAGGGAATAAGCCTCGCCCCCTCAGGATCACACAAGTGAGGAGAAATGGGAGGTTACTCGGCAGGCAAAAAAATTAGCAAGGAGCGAGGCATCTCGGAGTGTATTCATTCACTCAGATAACAGGGTAATGCAGAGGAACAACACAAGAAGCTCCTGCAGGGCTTGAAGCAGAGGAGGGAGGAGTCGAGGAGGAACGGGGACGGGTGTACATGGGTTATATTAGGGGGAGGGTAGTGGAAGCAAGTGTGCCGACACAGAGCCAGGGGGCAGCAGCGCACCCTCCACCCGCTCTACCCCCAACCTGGGAGGTGGCACCAGCTTCGCCTACCAGCCGGGAGGAGGCGAGACTGAACGCTGGTCCTGTTGATGTGAACACTTGTTTGGCTGACGTGGAAGTAAGGCCAGGTGGTCTTTGGAGTTTGTAATAGTATTAATGTAAATTTGGCCAAAGTCTTGAGTGAACCCCAAGGAGTGGTTCATGTGTGTATGTTCTGGTAAAGTGTCAGGTTTTCAACTTCATTTTAATAAACTATCTTTATTGTTGTTGAGGTATCAGTATCCTTCAGTATCACCTTTGTTCTTACCCATAGTACCTTGATACCATGAAATAAAATTAATCCATGTACCCCAGACCTCGCCATGCTACCACCTGTGTAAGATGATAAAGATTATCTAAATAAGTAGTAAAATAACTAAGATTAAGAAAAAAAAATACTCTGAGAAGTTGAAGTAGAAAATAAAATGGACACCAGTAGAAAGAAAAGAATTAAAAGGAATAAAATAAATAAGAAATGAAAATATTTACAATGTCAATGCAAAAAACCTGACCTTTTTATCTCCAAAAGTATACTTGCTGTAACTCAATATGTACAATTATCTTTTGTGCTCAGAGGAAACAAAATAATAATCTGCACTCAGCCTGAGCATGCTCATCACAACGCATAATTTACATCACTAGCAAAATATTTTTTTTTTCAGAAATTTTCTTCTACGGTATTACTATTTTTTCTAATATGTTCGCTTTATAAGGAAAAGGTTCAAAATTCAATCACATGAAATAACAAAGGTAAACAAAAATGTTGTGTTCTACTCGCACTTACGTATAGAATTAATTATCTTATCGTGATTACTCATATAACATTGCTTCTAGATAATTTATTTAAAATGTTAATGCAACACACCAAACCTTTTTTTCTCAAATAGCAAGTTTGTTATAACTCTTTATGTACAATTATCTCTCGTGTGGAGCAGTCAAGTGCGGTGAGGCGAGTGATCGGCCAGACCTTGAGCGTCTCGCGGGAGAGCACCTACAATAATGTTACACAAGCTTCATATATTTCTAATACCCTGAACTCACCAGATGATTAGCCCACTAGCTTACTTCACCTCATGATTAAACACCCTAATGCTATCAGGGAGTGTTTGATTTGATTTACATTAGGGTTGGGTTTGGTTAGTCCAGGTTAAGTTAGTCTTAAGGTGGTTAATCTTAAGATGAAATACCACAACTGTAGGCTCAGTTGCTTCTAGTACGGAGTGTGGGAGAGCTGGTAAAGATCCCTAGTTCAAGAGGTATCAAGCAGAAGTGGTCTATCTACACACAGCCCCGCACTTCTTTAATACCTAGTTGTTGAGCTCCTGCTGAGATGTGTACAGTGAGAGAATGAAGTACAGTGTCTTCCCAGATTTGGCCAAAATATAACCTGGTGGATTATACTGGAAACATTACCAAGACTACCTGTGTGTATTGAATGGTTCAACTATTTTGTGATGTAGTCATCAAAACTCAGGAAGATACATCATTTTCTCATTGTACTTCTATGTATGCTATACAAAAGTCAATGACACATTAAACTCAATTAAAAGTTCTAAAGTAACCAACAGATGTTTATCTCAAAAACCAAATTCCTAAATACAGTATTGTAGCAGGACATCTACATATCCATAGCCAACATAATTTGTTAGTGTTTACCTTTTTGAGAGGACCAGCCATACATAGTGTCCTGTACTGTATACAGTACCACTGTATTGTATCTGTGTTCGTCACAATCCCACTCTCCCTGCCTCACAAACAGAGCCTCCCTATCACTTCCACTTGGACTGTGGTAACTAAAAAATAAATAGGATATCCTGTACATCATCTACAATTTACTACTTTTGTTAAATATTGGTGAAGACTCATGTTTGCTGTACTGTACCTTATCCACCGTGGAATTGGCAAAAATTGCTCTTTCAAGAATTGAGGTCTTGCCAGTCTCCTTGCCCCCAACAACAACCACGCGACTTGTGCGCCCCATCACATTTCTCTGTAAATAAATTAAGACATACAGTACTTACTCTGCTGTACTAAACCTGAATTTCTTTAAATCTTGTACTGCACTAACATCATTTGTAGTTTATATTCTCACAAATTTCAATATTGTAACACGGGATAATACAAGATAAATACGTAAATAGACATGCAAATATAAAAATATTCAGCCCATTTTATGAAACTTCTAAAGAGCTTATTTTATGCACTACACCAGCACCACAGTTCTGCCAGATTGATTACAATATAAAAGGCACACATGCTGTGTTAGAAAAATGCAATATCATTTATTCAAAATTCAATTAAGAGTATTTTGAACAATGTGGCAGCATGTACAGTCATGTATAAAGAAGAGTTAACATTCTTTGACAAATAAAACAAAAGCTAAACATAAAATTAACTTAATAATAGGTATAAAACACAAGTACAATACAATATACCCTTCTCATGTAGAGTATAACAGCCAAACAAAACTGTAAGTTGACCATACAATATATCCTCTTGTGTCACTCCTGCCTGTAACATGACAACATCAACCCCAGTAGAGATGAAGCCCTTCTAATTCCAAGCCATGCATCACCTATAACTCTTCCTTTACCATCAACCACAACAATACCTCGTACTCGGATGTATTCTTAGGCAGCGTACCACCTACTGTACATGCTCACCATATCAATAGTTGAAATAACAAAATTAAACAATTAAATCACCAGCAGCATGCCCTAACAGATACAGAACTCTATTGACACGCACGCACGCACGCACGCACGCACACACGCACACACGCACACACACACACACAATCTTGAACAATATAGCAGAAGGCAGCACAAATTGAAATCTCCTCAAAATACTGTAAATAACTAACATGATGCATTCCATGTTACTTGCCAGCTACAGTACAGTACTGATTTCACTGATGTTCCTGTGTGCGTGTATGTGTAGCTCCTGGCTAGCAAACACACACACAGGCTACACATACAATAGGAGTCAAATTAAACAACAGTACTCCTCCATGGCTACAAAAATATAAATATTAATTAAAAGCATATATTTCCATTCACAAGTTTTTGTAAGTAGTACACAATGAAAAAAAATAATCTGGTCAAAAAATAACACCATATCAGAGGTAACATCTAAAACCTTATTACTGTTTCTCAATCCAAGTCTTTAATAAACACTTGCTCACAGAGTACACTGGCATGACAGCTGCAGGTAAAGAAAACTACAATATATTGAGAAAAAAATAAAGATGGCGGCCAAAAAAAAAAAAAAAGGGGTATAAATAAGCCATGACAGGGGGAGGCGGTACAGTGTGTCTGGTCAATCAGAGAGCCATGTAAGCATACCTGACCGACCACAGCACACAAGAGGCCACCATCAAGTATTCCCCGCCAGTTCCCTAGTACCCCACAGTCGACGCAGTGTTCGCGACTTCGCCAGGGGTCTTTCGTGTGTTTATCGTCACGAGGTTTCCTAAACATCCCTCAGCAACCTGCTCTCTCTCGGCTATGCTGGAGAGGAAGACACTTGTTCTCTCTATTGTAAAAAAAATTTCTGAACAAGTTAAGGAATGGGAAATTATATCTAAAAAAAAAAAAAAAAAATGAACTGATGAAAAATTGGACTCTGAAATTTAGTCAAGTTTTGGGGTATAGTAATTTTATTTACTTGAGTGATTTTTATGGATCATCATCATCATCATTATCATCATGTTTGGACTAAAATCTCAGGAGACTACTGTACCTAACAAGCTAATAGGGAAATTATCAGTAACACAAGACACCACGCAACACTTGTACTGTACTAAATGATGTTTGTATGGGAACCAGATATGGGGGAATACTGTAGCCAGATATGGGGGAACATTGTAGCCAGATATGGGGGAAGCACTGTAGTCAAATATGGGGAACACTGTAGCCAAATATGGGGAACACTGTAGCCAAATATGGGGAACACTAGCCAAATATGGGGAACACTGTAGCCAAATATGGGGAACACTGTAGCCAAATATGGGGAATACTGTAGCCAAATATGGGGAACACTGTAGCCAAATATGGGGAACACTGTAGCCAAATATATGGGAACTGTGGTTAGGTTAGATTGGGTTTGATTAGGGTAGGGTAGGGTGGGCTGAATTAGTTTGGCTTTGGTTAGGTTATGACAGATCTGGTTTGGTTAGGTTGGCTGGGTTATGTTAGGACAGATTAGATTAGGTTAGGTCAGGTTAGATTAGATTGGCTTAGGCTGGGTTATGTTATGTTAGGTTAGGTTAGATTAGGTTCGTCTATTCTTGCAACACAAAAGACTGCTCTGGAGGACACTGAGAACAGGTGTTGCTTTTAAGCAGCAAGCCAAAAAAGTTAATTACTGTACTGTACTGTCCTCACCTGAACAAACACTCACTAATTATCTAACTTTTCAACGATACTAAATTGTCCTCTCATATTTATCACCCTGGACATAAGGGGGTGGCATTCCTAGTACAGTATTGTGGACAAAGGGGGTGGGTGGTATTCCTAGTACAGGGTATTATAGACATGGGGGTGGCATTCCTAGTACAGTATTGTGGACAAAGGGGGTGGGTGGTATTCCTAGTACAGGGTATTATAGACATGGGGGTGGCATTCCTAGCTTTGTGGACATGGGGGGGGTGACATTCCCAGATTTACCCTGCAAAAATTCTAATCTGAGCTTTTGTTTATTTTTAAGTTTCCTTCCAAAAAACAAAAGTTTGCAGTTATTTTCAACTTTTGTTACAAGACTTAAACATTTCATTCAACAGTACGATCACCTGAAGATTACACCCCTGCTTATTTCACCAGAAGATTAAGACACCCCTGCTTATTTCACTAGAAGATTTGACTCCCCTGCTTATTTCACTAGAAGATTTGACACCCCTGGTTATTTCACTAGAAGATTTGACTCCCATGCTTATTTCACCACAAGATTTGACACCCCTGCTTATTTCACCAGAAGATTAAGACACCCCTGCTTATTTCACTAGAAGATTTGACACCCCTGCTTATTTCACTAGAAGATTTGACTCCCCTGCTTATTTCACTAGTTTGACACCTTTATTTCACCAGAAGATTAAGACACCCCTGCTTATTTCACTGATTTTGACACCCTGCTTATTTCACGAGAAGATTTGACACCCTGCTTATTTCACCACAGATTTACTAGATTTGTTCTACAAGTTGACACCTGCTTATTTCACTAGAAGATTTGACACCCAGATTTGACTTACCCTTTCAATGTACAAGATTTGACACCCCTGCACCAGAAGATTTGACACCCCTGCTTATTTCACTAGAAGATTTGACCCTGCTTATTTCCCTGCTATTTCACACATTTCACCACAAGATTTGACAACCCTGCTTATTTCACCACAAGATTTGACACCCCTGGTTATTTCACCACAAGATTTGACAACCCTGCTTATTTCACCACAAGATTTGACACCCCTGGTTATTTCACCACAAGATTTGACACCCCTGCTTATTTCACCACAAGATTTGACACCCCTGCTTATTTCACCACAAGATTTGACACCCCTGCTTATTTCACCACAAGATTTGACACCCCTGCTTATTTCACTAGAAGATTTGACACCCCTGGTTATTTCACCAAAAGTTTAGATTGATTAATTGATTGATTGGGTAAAATATCTGGCATTGCAGCCTGTGGCCATTTGACACAAAAAATTACCAGAAAATTAGACACCCCACCTTAAGATTATCCACCCTATTGCACCGTAAGATTATCCACCTTAACACTAACCTAACCCATACCAACCTAACCCAACCCAACATAATCTAAGTTAAAGTAACCTAACCCAACTTACACACCTACTCCCCTAGGCATCACTGGAGTGGTCAATCTTTAGGTGAAATAAGCTGGGGTGTCTATTCTTCTGGTGAAATAAACTGGGGCATCTAATCTTCAGATTAATGTTAGTTCCCTTCATACACAAGCACTGTCCATGTAGTACTTTCAGATATTTTCAGCAACTTCCTTACATAACCATAGATCACCTTAGAAGAATTTGAAACCTATGAGGTTGATGGTTTAGCACCTTCAGGATTATAGCTTCAATCACCATCCTTCAAGTAATTGTAATATGAGCTATTTCCTCAAAGGGTTATAGCTTCTATATTTGTCTAGGTTAAGCTGTGTGTGTGAGTGTGTGTGTGTGTGTGTGTGTGTGTGTGTGTGTGTGTGTGTGTGTGTGCACCTACAATACAATGCTCAGAATCATATTTGTCTCAACTACAGAAACTTATGGGTCCAAGAGGAAATGACCTACATTACTATGTATACTTACACCATCAGCAAAATACAAATAATATACTGCACTGTACAGTGGTCCCTAGGTTAACGAGCACCTCGGTTAATGAGATTTCGGTTAACGAATTACCTTCCATAAGATTCTTAACTTCGGTCAACGAGCATTCCCTCGATTAAGGAATTTTTAACGAGCGCCCCTCCACATATTTTCGCTTGCATTTGGCGGTCCACCAGCTGTAGTATTAGTCCGCCAATACAGTAATCTGTTCTAGGGCTTAAATTCCTACTACGTATTTTAGTAAATATCAAGAAGTTTTTATTATTCAATAATTTTAAAAGTTTTATATAAAATTATTTAGTCATTTTAAAAATTATTGATCATAATTGAAGTATAGGAAGCTAGTTTTTTGCTCGCCAAACAGCCTGTCAACACACCATACAGGCGTCAGTCTCTGTGTCTTTTCAGCAGAGGTAACATCTTGGTTCAGTCTCTCTTCAACATAAACGCTTTTTTCTGTGTTTCCAAGCAAATTATTGGTCAATTTGAAATTTATTTTACATATTGACAATATTTAATGCAGTGCAGTGTTGATTTAAAGAAAATAATTTTAAATTACACCAAGTGAACTAAAATTTTATGGGTGAAATGGCGCCATGGGGTAACTTCTCTTCCACCCCAATGCCTTCTCTTTTCCCTTCTCCTCCACCCCCATTCTAATTCCCATCATCATCATCATCCAGAGGCCTTCTACATACACACCTCAAAGTAAGTGTACTTTACCACCTTTTTTGTTGACTTTAGGCAATTTTCGGTGAGCTGGAACATTACCCCAAAACCCATTGAAACAATGGTTTCGGTTAACGAATTTTTCGGTTAACGAGCAACCTTCTGGAACGAATTGTGCTCGTTAACCGAGGGACCATTGTATTATATATTCTAAACAAGTTCAAGGTGGAGACTAGAGTAAGCAGTTCTCTGCACACAAGTGTTACCAAATAATTTAATTCATGTACAGGTACAGTAGTAGACAATGGTGTAGGGTACCAGTGGTTGACCATAGTAACTGTTCCAAAACTACAGTATAGTTCTAACACTGCTCACAACACCACAACCTCACTGACTCCATTAGTGATGATAATTTTTTTGGGGGGTGGGGGGGGGGCTGTACCGTATTATTGTATACGTACACGTAGTCTTCCCAATCATAAAATTCTAGTATATAAATTTAAATTATATAGGACAATACAATGGATGACTAAAGTTTCTTATACACAGATGCAATAAACATCTTTACTCCAACTTAACACATTTATATAACTATCAAAAGGGAGAGTTAGAGAGAGACAAGAGTACAGGTAACTGCACAGTTTTTTGCTTTTCAATTCCTTTGAATCAGTTTCACTTTAAAACTTCAATACCTGTATCTACTGTTTACAGGCCTTCAAGTCATAGATGTTGGTCAGTCAAATTCTCTATTCACACACGAGTTTGTTTACTTCACAGTCTCACCTTACCCCAGTCACCATAATATTTCTACTCTCTCGTTTATTGTGAGCGTAACTCTCTTCTTCTTCTGAGTACATGATGCTAGATATAGTAAGGCATCCACTGATCATTTTATAGATGCTACAGGTAACACTGAGGTGGGTGGTGCAGCTTCAGTGAGTATTGTACAGAACATAACAACATCAACACAAAGTTGCTGTTGGTGCATTGGTGATCCTCTCTATTTAGTATTTGCTAAAGTTATTCTTCTCTGGGTCTGAAGATGCCTTCCCTCATACATAACTGTAATGGGCACTCATTACCTCCACATGTCAACCAAGTTTTACAACTGAAAATATTGCATTTTCTCACACACTCGAGCCAAGGAAACTCAGAAAATCTTAAGATATATGTTCCTTTTCATGTTCATATTTAACTTAGAAGATAAATACTGAGAGTTCCAAGGTCACTGCATATTCATCTTTTTTCCTCTTTTTCATAATGAGGTCAAGCATATACACATGCTACAGTATACATGTACTGTACTGTAATGTTTCAGCCCGACAACATGTGTGCGAACCACTTAAAAACTGAAAATTTTACTCTGAAATTCCTCACATACGACCAATATCAAGTTATAGTTCACCAGCCACGGGGGAGAGAGCCAACCGTCCACTTTAGCCTAAGGTTTTTACTCACCCGACAGAGGTTGGTAGACCTTCGAAAAAGAGGTAAAATGTGGGTTTACTACGAGGAAAAGACAAGAAGAGATCAGGTGTACATTTGGCTAGGTATGGTTAGGCCAGTTTATATAGAGGTGAAATGTGGCCTATATATAAGTATCCCAAGCTGCATAGCCTAACCTAATCTCACTTAGGGCTAACTACATCATGAAACTAATCACTTGTTCTCTAGCTCTCAGATTTATAATTTTATCTCTCGCATCCAATCATAATACGTACTGCATTTTTGTAATTTTGAGCAAATTCTCACCTAACCTATGTCGTTTTGGGCTTCAATGAACTACCAGTCCTGCTTCTGTACAGCACTAATATGCTTGCCTCTCACCAATGCATTGAGGGTTCAATCCCTGAGTTGGATTTAAAAAGGGTGTTACAGGTATCCAATTTGACCCTCTCTACCAAACATGGTAGGTTTTCTCTGGGTACGGTACAGTACAGTACAGTACAGTACTGTACTCTGGTTTCCTCCTGAAATTACATTGGACAATAAAGGTCATAACAAAGAACAGATAACGACCCGAACGGCTAGTAAGCTGACACGTGGTGAAAATTATAAAAATAAATAATAAAGTCTTTGTTTTTATTTTTCACTCTCACAACTCCTTCTCACTAAGGAAGTGTAAAATTGTGGATAATATGTAGACGTTAAAAGAGTGATGAAAGCATTTATGTTTCGTCAATGGCTGAGGCTAAGATAAACTGAGGAAAGATGTACAAAAACTCAAAGTGTACAGCAGTGAGTAAAGACAGACAAACAAACTCACTCTACCGGCACAATAAATCACATGCTGATCAAGAGTGAATGTGTGTAAACCTTCAGATCAATTTGTCTGATGATAATAAACACTGTAGATGCCCTGAACTTTATCTTTGCCAACTTACAGTATGTCTCTCAAGTCACCTAGGAGGAGTAGCTACAGGAATACAAATAAGAGGGGATACTGTATTAAGTTTAAATATGCAACTGACGCATACAGGTATCTGCTAATACCAGAACATCCCAAACACAGCCAAACCTTCCATAGTAGAAATTTGCTTCTAGTGGGTTAAGAACAATACTCGCCTGTTGTTTACTAATAATAAACCACATAGTAAAACCCACTAAAGATCTTCTCCACTATGTAATGGTTTACACATCTTGTACCTGTTCAAGGTTCCTAGAGAGGGACATATGGTAAATGAGTGTTGTGTTAAGCATACAGTAAAAGATGGAGGCTTTCTGATTGGTTGGACAGGACTGCCTAGGTTTGATTAGTGTGAGGCCAATAATGATTCTGCCAGTAATTCTCCACTTAACCATATTTATTGCACCTTCACAATAATACAAGTAACATGATCCCCTAAAATACATGTTCTATTGTTCGGTGTTTTGGCAGCACCTAAAACAACTCCACAGAAGAAAAGCTTGTTTCACCTTAAGATTAACTACCCTATTATTAACATTAACCTAACCTCATCTCCAGGTGTAGCATTAGGGTGGTTAATGATCAGTTAAAATAGAGTGGCTAATCAACAGTTAATCCTTTTATAATAATTCATTACCCAGAAAAGTGAACTGATTTCCTCACTACATTTCCACTGTAGCTGAAGTCAACAACAGATTTTCAGAAAACATTAAAAAGACACAAAATCAGATATAGTATAATAAAATAACCAGAAATACAATGATTTCTCTCACTTATTTAAGGATTAGGAATATTTCATAAGTTCTAAATCATTCAATATTTTTGTCAACACTGCAACACTTATGTCAACACTACAACACAGCCTAACATGCCCAAAACAGTTCATTATACATACTAATCAGAAATAATGTACAGTACAGTAAGTATATGATGCAAGAAATACAATGAAAGTGTTTAAGTCTCCTGGATCGACACAATTACATTAGTTTGGATTGGGTTAATTGCATCATTTCTGAACAGGTAATACAGGTAATATATATACATCTTAATGAATCATCTGAAGATTCCCCCTTCCACTACTTAATTCACCTGATGACTAAACACTCTAACACTACCTGGGAGGAGGGGGTTAGGTTAGGTTAGGTTTGGATGCATTAGCTTAGGTTTAGATATGTTTGGTTAGATTAGGATAACATTTGTGTAGTTAATATTGAGGGGCCAATCTTCCGGTGAACTTTCCTTGCACCTACATAACCACATAATGCTGTCTAACCTTAAACAACTTGTCTTCTTCTTCTTGTCCAACATAATATTTTTTTTTCATTGGTTTACTTATGTTATCTACTTTGTGGCTAAAAATTACAAACTAAAATGGAAGTGAATCTGTCTACCACAGCTTACCTCACGTTATGATTAACTACCCCAATGCTAACATAACCTAACACAAACTTAATGAAACCTAACATAAGGTAACTTAACCTAATCTAACCTAATGAAAGCTAATCTAATTTAATCTGACCTACCCTACCCTAACAAAAGATAAGCCAAGTTAACCTAAACTAACCTCTAAATGATCAATGGAAACAAATGGAAGAAACATGTTGATCCCAAAGGATACCAAACTATACTAAATGAGAGTACTGTACAAGTCATCTATTTAAGGCCACTGTGCTAGTGCAAAGATTTAACCTAACAACAATTGGATCACCTAAGATTAGTAGGCCTACTTCTGCTAATTTCACCTGAAGATTCACCTTATATTTGATAAATCACATAATGTATAGTTACAGGTAAAACAGTGCCCATTATATGATTTATCATTCATAAAATAAACAAATGTAAACTACCTTACCTAACCTAACCTAAAATAATACAGCATTAAAAAAAATAAAAAATTTAAATGGACCACCAACACCTCACAGCTGTAGAGGAGCTGTGGTGGCATCAACGGTCCAATTTGTGTCCAGGAAAAAAATCATAAAATTATTTTTTTCTCGTCATTTCCTCATCCACTTTTTGTTTTCTCATGAGGTTTGAAGACATACATCTTTTATGGTGAAATATCCTCAAGTTGTCAGTTTAGGAGTGACAGAGAACTTAAATACTAGATCACAGGAAGGATATCCATACCAGCTTATTTCACCTAAAGATTAACCACCCTATTGCTAACCTAACCTAACCTAACCTAACCACCCTATTGCTAACCTAACCTCCCAAATACCATTACGGTGGTTAATCTTAAGGTGTAATAAGCTGGGGTGGAGATTCTTCATGTGATTCTAAATATCTTTAAGAACTATTTAATAAACCAAATTTATTTCACACTATATAATTCACTAAATGTCATAACACCATTTTTTTAAATTAAATAAAAAAAAGATTTTGTATTTTTATTTGTTAGTCATGATAAAATTAATTATATCCTCTTATTAATAAAGTTAACTTACTTCTACAATTGTACATGTTCTTCTTAAATATGACTTAACATATAAAGTCAAATAATATTAGATAACATTAGAATAACAGTGTTCTCTTTACAGTATTGGTTCAGCCTCCCCTCACTAAACACAGATTAATGCCTTCACTAATCCCCAAAGGACTACGGGCCAACTATCTTACCATACAACAAGACGGTGAAGATCAGTAATAAGACGGGGAAAGATGTGTTAAGGGTCGATTAGTACTTCACACCCTCCCTCCTCACCTCCCGCCGTGTGTTAACTCACAGCCTCAGTAGAGTCAGTAGTAGTGTTGCCAGATACTTGTGACCAAAAGTACCGGATCTCAATGAAAAGTAGCCCAATATCATGTGAAAACGTGGATTGATAATCAAGACATCTTTCAGAGGCGTTGCCTCTGAAGATGTCTTGAATAAAGATGAAAGCTAAGGTGCTCCGTTGTTTCCATTTTCCCGTGTGATTTTATCAAGATTTATCTTATCCACGTTTTCATTGTGGATTTACATGATATATATATATATATATATAAAGAGAGAGATAGATAGATATGGATATCCTGTATTGATATTGTAGTGGATTCCTCCCCTACAAACGCTGGTTGTCGCTGAGTAGCCGACCCCGCGAATTCCCCAGTGGTCTAGGTCATCTAGCGCTGCCTTACATGACGGAGGTCAACTATTAAGCCACGCCTACCTCCGCTATATAAGACCTGACCTCGTGGTGACCTACCTCTCTTTCTACCTACACCAACCATCAACCGCTCCTGCCTGGCGGCCCTCGCTCCTGCCGGCGAGCATGGCGACCCACAAGCTGGTCCTCCTCTGAGCATCCTCACCAACCAGCTCTCTCTACATCACGCTTGTAACCACGCTGCCACTTCCCAGCACCAAGCTGCACTGTACATCCAATACAATATGCATACAGAGAGCACATTATGAGTTTCCTTTCTCCATCCCATCCTGAGTGTGAACCAAATAACTCATACCCCACAAATAGTCACCATTTCTGGTAGATTGTTCCAAGAGTTCACAACTCTCACTCCGAAAAAGTTTGCCCTCACAGTTTTCTGGACTTGTGGCTTCTTCAATGTTGAGCTGTGACCCCTTGTGGGGCGAGCGTCCGCCAGCTCCAATTAAGGACACTCTACTGAGTAGTGCCCCTTGAGATGCTTATACACCTCAATTAGGCAACCTCTTGCCCGTCTGTAGTAAAAGTTAGACAAGTTCAGGCGCTCCAATCTCTCAGGGTAGCTGAGGTGCCGAAGTGCAGGCACCAGTCTGGTGGCCCTCCTTTGAACATTTTCAACTAACTGACAGTCCCTAGCATATCTCGGGGACCATACTGGGTGACAGTGTAAGGGTCCGTTTCCTTACTGCAGATTTATTTTCTTTATTCTTCTTTTCTATACTTATGTACTTATATTCTTCTACTCTGAGTCTCTCTCTCTATAAGTATCTATCTTATATTTCTTTGCTTTTATTTTCTAAGTTGATATACTTTTCTTTACTTCATTTCTTGTTTCATATGTATTATTGTATTTTTCTGATATTTATGTCCTTACTTTTTCTCAGTTATATCCTGTTGTAGTTATATTCTAAACCATGGATTAGTCTGGGAAACCATGTCATTCTTATTATAACACTTAGTATGCTTACAATGGTAACCTGCCACCACCCAGACTTTTATTAGAATATGAAATGTCTTAATGAACTGTTAGGTAGCGTGCTAGTGAGCTTCTAGGCACGTGAGTTACAATAGTTATTTTCTGAGAACCAATGGTTAGAAGGAATAGAGCGACGAGACTCGTAGTTTACTAATTTAATATTTATTAACATAAGGAGTGAACAAGATGTTAATTAATTACACTCAGACAAGACAGGACCATTTAAGTCTTACTTTACACACAGCAAAATAGATTTTAATTTCTTGATTACAATATTACACACTCATTATATTACTTCATTGTCAATACAGATGATTATAAAACACACTCGACAAGATCCCAAATTAAGATATTATTAAACACATCCTGTTAGTTCGGACTGAACAACATGGCTTGTTAACTAGACTCAGTGGTGGACTCAACCCCTATACCTACGTTATCACGGGTAACACCAACAGTCATGGGTTCAATACTCAACCTGGGATAACTATATTTCTGCTAGTTAATCCCCAATCATAGATACCAATAATGCTCAATAAATATTACCGAGGTCAATGGAACGGGCAAGACTGAGTTCACTAATTGCGGGAGTTATTTACGCCACAGACAGCCGAATCTCGCTCGCAAGGAGCGCCCTGGGGTAGACTCGGTGCAGTGTCTCCTCACGGCATTCTCTTGGTAATCTTGTCCTCGGATTCTTATCTCGCCATATTAAAGACATCCTTCAAGGACCATCTTGCCCATAGGCGGCTACCGAACCTCGGTAGTCGTGCCAACGCAGACAGTGCCTGGAGATGCGTTGAGGAAGAGTCACGAGCGTGTGAGTCTTCCTTGTGCATTCGTATATATGTGAGCCTGGGGAAGTTCCGGCCTACGCATACATACCAGAAAGGCTAATCTCACCAACAATAGAACTACTATTCAACTCGGTTGCTGTACACTCAACTATGAACGTGTGTCACGGGTCAGGCTAATTTCCTACGTCTATCCCTATAATCTAATCAGAGATTGAGATTGTCAGGAAAAAGTGAAATGGACGTTAAACACGCACTAACAACCCTAATTACAGGAAACCACAGACCACAGCCAAGGAATTCTTCCTGAGGAGAGCCATTAGGACTTGGAGATTTTGAGTTTGACAGAATCTTTCCAGGAGATTAATGACTTTCTTAAATAGACAACTGACACTAACTAAACTACAAACATTAGATTCTCTGATGTTTGGGTATCAAAATAATCTAACTTCAGCAGCACTTGGAAACTCATGGCTATCCCCAAGGACGATATAAGGATATTCCACTCATACTGACAGACTCGACACTCACTTACTTGACCAGTTTTACCAACAATAAAGACAGTTGAAGCTTTCAACATTACTCACAATGGATCTTGAATGTTTCAACTGTAATCAGACATATCTAAGTTGCCTCAACAATTGCAACCACCGTTGCAATTTCAAATTCTGTGTCATTATACTAAGGAATAATGAAGTCTCGGGTGCACTCTAAGATTGAGAGAAAACGGAGGATACAGGCGTCCTGAAGCGATGAGAAAACGAATTCCTCAGACGGGGGACGCAAATAAAGAACGCATAGCTACATGTTTTGTGGGCGATTGAGCGTAATATGAATCGTCTGATTTTACGTAAACTGACGTGTACGACCGTGGTCATTACAACAGTACTCCAGTACTGTGATATATTTTTCTTTAGTCATGCCAGTGTAATCCCTTTTTAATTTTGTTTGAATTGAAATACTGTTTCAAGTTGTACTGTGATAATGTTTAGAGGAAATAAAATGTGTTATTTAAAGCCAATTTTTAAAAATAACCTTGATAATATTATCTATTATCTAAAAAAAGAAATTACCAAACTAATAATGCTTCCATTTGCCCTTACACTTGCTCTACTTTCAAACAAACTACATTACACAAATGAAACCCATGTATCAATTACACCCCTTTCTACATCGATGTAGTTCAGCTGTGTTCCTTCCAAGGCTTCTAATAGGGATATGAGACCCATCAATGCAACCAAGTACACCAGACATCCCTGCAATGGTGTGAAATTCATCTACAAGGTTTTGTATGTTGTTTGATTCTGGAAAGTGGATGTAATCTTTTTCTGTAAGGGTCAAAATAGTTGCAAAGCTTCTGACACACTTGCAAACTGATGAGACAGAAATCTTCAAGCAGTCTGCCATACTAATTTGGAAGCTGCCACTGCTAAAGTATCTCAATGCAGTTAAGAGTTGCAGGTGTGTGGAATAATGCATCCTGTAGGATAGATTTTTTTATTTACTGTTTTGTCTAACATTTGCTTATCCTGATTATGGTAAACAACAGGTCTCCTATGATGATATATATATTAATGTGTTATATTTTAAGTTCTTCAGAGAATCACCCTCTATAAAGTGCAACATACAGGTGATATCCCCGTTAGCTGGAATGGTTGGTGCAGAGCTCTTCCAGGGATGAGAGACTTCCAGATAACAAGACTCTCAAACCATGAAAAATCCCACATCCCTAGAATTTTTCCGGTTACATGTAAAAGTTTCCGAGTCTAAACATTCTTTCATTCTCGGAGGCACGGGAAAAACTTGGAGAGTTTCAGGAAGTTTTCATAGAAATTCCCAGAAAATGTGCCTCGGAATTTGCTCCAAGGCCTGCAATCAAATTGTTTAAGAGATTTTTAGGATTTTTCTAAAAAAAAAAAAAAAAAACCCGTTTTCAACCTTGAAAACTCAATGACAGACCCGGGATGTTGAAAATTTTCCCGGAAAAACTCCGAGCCAATTTCAATTCTGAGTACGTATTGGCGAATTTTGGGTAATGATGATATTACTGCACTGTAATTATGGCCTGGTGGTATTATTATACCTAGGGTAGGGTAGGTAAGATCAAAATCATTTAAAACACGCCAAAAATAGTCGGAAAAATGTAGGGATGACCGAAACGATAATTTTACCATTAATTCCAGGGGGACATTTAAATGCTTAATTACACAAAATACAGTCAGCCATAGTAATACAAAATCCTAACCTATGGAAGTTAAGCAGGAAGAGCTTAGATAGATTAACTGAATTTGATCTATTATTATTATTTAATAACTGATTATTTCTACATCTGTTATCTTTCAAACTAACACCATCTAGCCCAGCGTTTATGTATTTGAAAACGTTATCCCTTTATGTACAAATATGAGAAACCATTTTCTCTCATACCGTAATACAGAAAACAACATTGATGGAAGACCATTAGAAATACACATGCCAGGCATGTTCCTTAGGCTTTTGGGGATGAATGGGTATGCCGTCTCTCTGCGTTAGTCTGTCAGCTGGTGTGGTCTGTCAGCTGGTGTGGTCTGTCAACTGGTGTGGTCTGTCAAATGGTGTGGTCTGTCAGCTGGTGTGGTCTGTCAGCTGGTGTGGTCTGTCAGCTGGTGTGGTCTGTCAACTGGTGTGTCAACCGTCAAATAGTGTGGCGTATTAGCTGATTTAAGTCTCGTCAGTTGGTGTGGTCTGTCAGTTGGTGTGGTTTGTCAACTGGTGTGGTCTGTCAACTGGTGTGGTCTGTCAACTGGTGTGGTCTGTCAGCTGGT